GTTGCAAGACAGCAAGTAACTGAGAGCCAATGTATTTTAACAGATATCCTGAAGAGCCACTAGACTTTATGTCTAAATTCAAATGTTTGTCCCTTTCATATACTCAGTTCTCTGTGGTCTGCAAGACTGAGAACTCTGGAGCAAGATGGGAAGGAGGCTGGATCACCAGAGCAGATGCCACTAAACTGGCCAAGGTACATCCATTCCTGAGTATCACCAGGCTTGCAGTATGTCTGCAGTTCCACCATCATCTAACACATTTCTGTGTTGGCTCACTCTGGTGTTCTTTTAGCTATGAAAAACCTTTTCTATTGGTTTGAGCAGAGAAGCTAAAGAAGCATAGAAAAAAGGTGTCTGATGGGGAGTGAAATGGACTACTGTGAGTGTGTTTTTGTCATCTTCAGATGTCTGCAGCTTGGGTAGAAGAGATTTATTGAAACAGTATTTAATAATTCATCTGCAAGATGAATTAGCTATTGGTAATAGCCTGAAAAGTCTGGCTGTGGTTGTATATAGGAGACTCTATAGAGGGAAGACTTGGAAAACATATGAAAGATGGTTAGCCCTGAAAAGAACCAAAACCAAATGCACAGACCAGGATGAAAATGCGATTAAAATATTTCAGCCTTTTCACAGACAACCAAGCCAGCATGAATCCATCCTTGCTGGAGCTGTTTCCTCTGACTATTGCTATCTAAAGTTAAACACAGTGACCCTGACATATAAGCTCATTATGTCTCCAGTAACACAAAGGACTTTGAACTCTTTTTGTCCCCAGTGATCAATATAGAGTCTGGAAGAAAATAAAAAGAGAAAGCCATGGCCACTCTATGTAATTTGGTTATCCTCAGTATTGTATTTCTATTCAAAATAGCCATCAGAAATGTCTGCTGCTTCTTAAAAAAGCAGGATGTAAGCAGGAAATATTAATTGGGAGTTTTCCCCCATAAATATTTAGCATGGGAAGAAAAGTATTTTAAAAGTTAGTCTTTGAAGTGAACAGCAGATACCTACAAGGAGGAGAACATATCCATTGTGCAGTGGACAGTACAGGAACAACCAGCCAATTGTTATCACCTGGTATGTATAGGAATAGTGCTGTCACTACAGAACTTCTCAGTGTTTTTCAAAGAGGTACAGCCTTTGCAGGTTGCGTACATACTGGCACAATATGTTATGCTAAGCATATTATTCATTCCTCCTGCTGGAATGCAATGGCTTTGGATTTTTTCCTAAGGAGACCGGCCTTATTAAACTTTTTTCCCTATTGTCAAGATGAAAAATGAGGGATGGGACCACCATGCTATTTAAGATGATTTATTGCTCAAGTAAGCTAGGTAAGATATCAGTCTTGATGGCATGAGATTTAGAGAGGAGCAACAAGTCAGCCATAGCTCAAGGTAGTCACGAGTTTCTTCTTCACACAGCAATATATGAACATTTTGGTCCAATAGACAGTTAACATGAAACTTGTTTCTACTTAATAACCTGTCATCTGTGCTTAATTTTGCTGCACTGCAACTGTCTCTTAGCCAATAAGCTGACAGGTCACTTACTCACACACATACCTCTATTACAGCTTCTAGATCCCTAGCCTACTTTATAAGTCACATTATTACAGCTCAAACCTCATGCTATTTTATTTAATATAATTTTTTACTTACTCAAGACATATTCTTACTTATAACTATAGGAACATAAGTTTATAATTTTTCTACTTAATGTTTGTGTACTTTTATCATTACATTAACCCAAACTCTTTCTAAGGCTGCAGATTCACTTCAGCATCTGTGGAAGTTTCTGTTTTTCCATTTCCCACACCCTATGTCTCTTTTTTTTTTTCCTTCCAAGGAGGAAGATGTGTATTTTCACATCTTCCTCCTTGTCCCAAGCAAGTGTTGAACACATTTCTCTAATTTCATTGCAAACAGCTGAAGGAGGTAAGCTCCAAATGTTTGCTGTTGTGTACTTCAGGCAATGTCTTGCAGAGCAGAGCTGAGCATGTCCATCCTGCTGAGCAGAACCTTCAGCACACCCTGAACTGTTTGTTTGATATGTTGGCTGAATAATCAGCACAAGCAGCTCAAAATCAACTGGAGTATGCATACCCTCATGCCCTTCCTCTGGTAAAAAAAACATGAGGCAGTAGGAGGAAAGCCAAGGAATCTGGAGGGGACAAGGAACTTGAGGCAGGAGTGAGGATAATTTGACAGTGATGCATAGGGCACAAATAACACAATTCAGAAGACACCAGGTTTCTCAGTTCAGCCCCCCCAAGACCATGAATTTCTGCCCTGCCTGCATATTGTGTAAGAATCTTATCACCACCTGCCTGGCTTGTCCTGCCTCTGACACTCATGCTTACAAAAAGCAGGAGCTGTACCTTATCTCAGGCAAAGCAAAAGAAAATATTATTCCCATTCCCCTGCACAAATGCTCAGTGCCATCAGAGCTGTTATACTGGATGGCAGAGGGGAAAGGTGCTTTGGCGATGGAAAATACTGGGATCTGAATGGTTGGGCTGAACCTTCGCTACCTGGATAAATTCTTATCCCAAGATTTTTTCTGATCATAGTTTTTAAATTCTATACTGTTGTTGTACAGGCTGAATAATTTCATAAATAACTATTTCTTCTGAGCATTTCAGGTGGAAGTTAGGTTACTGCAGGAGCAGTCAAGTCCCCAGATGTTTGTCTCTGCTTTCCAGACCCCTCCCAACTGTGCTGACAGCTCCCCATTTGGTGTGGGGAGCTGATGAGATAAAGTGACCCAACTAAGACATAACCCACCAGAAAAAAAAGTTTATTTTTCAGCTACATCGGTGTCCTTTATGGTCATGCACAGCAGGAGACAGCATCATGACAGGACTGGATGAGTAGTCAGGAATGACAGGCTTCCACTGTCATTCTGTGTCACAGCCCAAAATCACAATCCCTTGCTTGAGATTCCTCTCCTGCAGTCTTTTGGGTCTAATAGAATCTGTTTTAAAGAAATAATTGTTTAAGGATGAAAGTCAAGTGTTCCCTGAAAAGCATGCAAGTGAGCAAAGAGGGAGCTGGGAAGACTGCATAGAAATCACACAAAATTACAATGACCTAAATATTTATTCCAAAAGGCCTTCAAGGCTCATTCTTTGTTTTTTTTGAGATTTTGTTTTGTTTTGTTTTGTTTTTTTAATTGCCCCTTGTGATAAATTCTGCTGGCTAAAACATCATCCAAAATGTAATCCTGGGTGCAGAGTGCTAAGTGTTTCTGCTGATGCAGCTCAATAGTCACTTACCCATGCACACACTGACACAGAAGTGGAAAAAAAAAATTTTGTTTTTGTTTTTAAAAATTTTGCAACACCTATTCTGTGAAGACCATAATAATGGACCTCCTAGGAGTGTAGAATCTTTTTTCTACTTTCTGTACTCTCTTTTTTTCTCTGCTCTGTTCTGGGATCTGCTGTGTTTCCAGTGCATCAACTATTGAAGGCATGAGAGTATTTAAGTGGAAGATAGAGTAGAAATCACTATCATTAAAAACAAAAAAAAAAAAGAGGCAGAGGTGGTCAGCAAATTTGGGAAAGCAAATAATCTGAAAAAATTATGAAACTATGATTTCTTTATTATCTTGAGAGAGTAACATGCATCTTAGTAAACTGGTGGACCTTCCAGCATGCCTAACCTGTTTCTAGAAAGTCATTACAGGAACCCAACTGTGGTGCTTGATTGTGTTGTTTATTTTGGGCATTACTGCTCCTCTGTCTTTCCCTCCTTCCATGTTGTCTCTGCAATAAAAAGTCCTAGGTGTGGGACAGATTTGCTTGGAGGAAGAATAAGCATCACAAGTATGCAAAGCTGATTTCCTTTGTTCATCATGCATAATAATAGAATAAAGAATAATACAAATTGCTATGTTAAAATTAAAAAGATACATCATCCTAGAAGCTTCTGACTAAAGGACTGGACACTAGCAAAATTTTAGCTGTGCTCAACAGAACATGGTGTTTTACTTAAAGGGCCTAAGGGATTTTTTTTTTTTCTCAGTAGGTTTTTTTTTCTTTCCCTGAGATTCTTCTATGATATAAGAAAGGTCCAAGCCTAAAAATAGTTTAGTCCAAATACATTGACTTGCATTTTCTAGAGCTGCAGGCACAAACCCAAGTAGTTCCTACAATGACAGACAGCAAATTTTCCCTGAAGCATCTTTCAGATAACCAGTTAATTAAGTATTATGGTCACAAGGCTGAAGGGTAAATGTGTATAAGAAAAGAGAAGGGAAACACAGGAAAAAGCTCTGAGAGAAGGGAGGGAGGGGGAATGAACCGACCAGAGGCAGTCTTGGGGCAGTTTGATAAAATGTTTGAATCCTGAAGAGCCTGATAATTTATTATTTTTTTTTTTTAGCTGATGAGCCTCCCTACGTCAGCCAATACACCTGTGAAGACTTCGCTGCAGGCTGAGGACAGCGAAAGCTTTTACCTGTCACGGGTGACACGCACATTAAGAACCTGCTGGTGACTCTTGACACTTTCTGCTCGAGTTTTCGGGGCCCCGGTGATCCTCCCCTCTCGGGAGTGAGGCGAGGGGTCCGGAGCATCCAGCAGGTCCCAGCGGGGGAGGGCAGTGCCCCAGAGGCGCGGAAGCTGGCGGGGACACCCGGCAGAAGTGACATCGGGCAGAGGAGACACCGAGCAATAGTGACACGGTGGCTGGAGAGGGCTGGGGGAGCTGCCCTGCTCCGGCGGCTGTCCCGGCGCTTCCGAAGGAGAAAAGAATGAGGAGCTCCGGCTGCGCAGCCGCCCCCGCCCCAGGCGGCCTCCTGGGGCTCGGGATTTACTCCTGGAACCTGCTTTCAGGAACCGCCCCCTTCACGGTGTGCGGTGACCCGCTCCGGCCATCTCCCCTTCCTCTCCTTCCTTGAACAGCCGTGTGCTGGCGGGGTCACATGCTTGGTCTTTGGTGCCTTTAATCCCACCCTCAGCGCCCGAGAGGGAGGAGAGAAAGTCGCGGAAGAGAAGTGAGCCACACGCCGAGAGCAGGATCCCGGTGGGAGAGGAGCTGCGTGCGGGAGGGAGGCAGGAACGGCCGGGCGGGGCTGCCCAGGGGATCGGGTAAATCTCCCGCTGGGATCGGGCTGTCCCGGGGGGATGCTTCCCCTTCCCATGCGGGGGATAAAGGGGAGGTGCACGGAGGCTGCGGGAGCAGGGGAACGGGGGAGCCACGAAGTTATGGCTGATGAGCGGCCACAGCTGCTTATCAGGGCTGGGCTTGGCTGCTGTGGCTGCGGCACCCGAGCCAGCAGGGAAGTGGAAGCTCTCCAGGGAACGAGATTTTTCTGTGCTTGCTCCGGCCATGTGCCTGTACATGGTGACGAGCAGGAGGACAAGTAGCCAGAGCCTGGCCGCGCCTCAAGAAACGGCCCTTCACTTGGGTTAAGTGGAATTCTTAAGGGAACGGGGAAAAGGCAGCCAACTTCTGCTCCGTGTTTGGTGCCACCCAGGGGAGCCCTCGCCCGAAGCGTGGCCAGAATCTCTCCGGTCTGAAATCCGGGCAAGGAGATGAGGACTGGGCACACTGAAATGCCCTCGGTGTCTGCTGTTCTGCAAGGAGAGAGAGTGGAGGTGGGATCAGCTTTTCTTATCTAAAGCCGTCTCCTCTTAGATCATCACTGAGGTAACTGCTATTAACCCTGTGCTTTACGGGTTACCTTGTGCTACCTGGCAGCTCTCCTGAAGGGAATGAGGAACACCTAAGCAACCCAATGGCCGAAGTCGCTGACATCTAGAATCAAAGGCTGTTGAGAAAATCTGCAGTTGTGCTGTGATGCAGCAAAACATGAAACTATGCTGATCTACATTACCGGTTCCTGGGCTGGCTTCTCTCCTGCTGTCACTGAGAAAGTAATTTATGCACAACCACTAGGGCACATGAGGTTCAGCAAGTATTTGCAAACACAAAAGCCAGGAGAGACACTCTCCTGCACATGTGAAATCTGCTGCTTGCTTTCTTGTCTGTCCAACAAGGGCATTACAAATCATAACACAGATTATTTTTCAGCACCTGCACTTACCTCATTTTCTCCCTGTGGGGCTCAAGCAGATCACCAGGACCCCCCAGAACCAGGGCATTCCATTCACCACTCCTTCCAAAGCAGGATAAACAATCTGGTTCATATGTTGTGGGGGAGGGGAGGAAGAGGGTGTATATTCCTCAGGCATAAGTGCCAAATGTAGAAAAATCAGCAGTTTAACAATAGTAGAGAGTGTCTTCAAAGAGGAATGCTTTTTATCAATATGACTAAACATTTTTCTTTCAGAGGTTTGAATCACAATAGTCTGGTTGTTATTTTGTGCACTTTAGAATTTTGCTTGTTACATAGACTGTCCTAACTGGAAATTAACAGCTTTGCCATCAAAGGCCTTTGTTCACAAATTTTCTATTTCCCTATTCCTGTACGTCTCAGCACCTGACCTTTCTGTCCGGCCAGCTCTGGCCACTGCAACAAGAGTGGGCTGCCCTCAGAAAGCAAGGCAGACTGGAGTGCAGCTTGCTCAGGAGTTGTGGGCTAGGGCACAATGCTCCATGGTTTGCAGAGACAGGCTAGCACCAAAGACCAGAGAAAAACAAAAGGCGGAGTTTTTGGTGTGAAATCCAGACTACTTATTTTCCAGAGGAGTCAGGGACCAAAAGACAAGAGAGACAAGGCTACAGCAACTTATATATAGGGGAGGAGCAAGGGGAGGTACAAATCATCAACCAATAGTGAGCCCAAGAGGGTGGGACAAGGGGAGGGGGTTACAACACAGAGACCAACAGGGATGAGGGGGTGGAGAGGATCAGTATATAGGCCAATGGGGCCTCGAAGGTAAGGAGATGGACAGGGAAGGGTCTAGAACAAAAGGCAGGGTTTGCCATGATGGGCATCCAGGAACCTGGGGTGATTGGACAAGGGAGGGATTGACATGGACCCTTCTGGAAATTAGGGAAGGGTCTTGGGGTGAGTGACACAGGAAAAAGGTGGGGAGAACTTAAGAAGAAACCACTCTGTTTCAGGGGGGAAACATATTTGGGGGCAACCATTGGCATAAACAAACAGTGAACAATAAAAACGCACCACCACACCTGCACTTTATTCTTCACAGTCATAAAAGAACAACAAGCCATAACATTTGCAGTGTTAGGTGCCATCACTGCATGTTTCCTTCTCTCTCCCCCCATTCATACGTTCACAACTCTGTAGGCACAGGTGAATTTTTAAGAGAATTCATCATTGTGGGGATAACAAAAAAAGTTTTAATAATGATTAGATGATGATAAAATGATACTTAATGACAAATAAATTGCAAATGATGATTAAGGAATAATTCAATTATAATTTAACAATGCTTTAACAATAATAATTAAGCTGTAATGAAATGGTAATTGAAACACGTTTTAGTTTCTGGTTTCAACAATGATTTAAACCATGATTAGACTCTGCTACACTTCTACACTTAAAGCTATAGCTGGATAAATAAATGTCATGAACATACAGTGAAGTAGCCCCCCTTTGTCCCTCCTGATTAATCCTGGCTAGCTATGTCAAGGGGAGGGCAGGGAGGCTCTTCATGACCAAGATAAAGACCAAAGGGCTGCTTTTCCCTCCGGGATAACGTCGGATGTTTACTCAGGCTGGGATCCAGGAGGAAAAAAAGAGGGAGGAAACATTTCCCGGGTACTTTCAAACCTCGGGAGAGGGGCGGGAGACATATAACACCAACCAATGGGATAACATTTCAGGGACAGGGAGGGGAAGGGAAAAACACATCACAGCTGCAGGGAGGGTTTACCCAGAAACTAAGGAATGCCCAGGAATGCACACTACCACAATACAGTATACAATATATACAATTTTAATGCA